CTTCCTTCCTTCCTTTCTTTCTTTCTTTCTTTCTTTCTTTCTTTCTTTCTTTCTTTCTTTCTTCCATCTATCTATCTTTCTATCATCTATCATCATCATCTATCTATCATCTATCATCTATCTCCCATCTTCTTTATCTATTTACCCCCCGATGGACACTTACGTTGATTGTATGGGAAATATATTTTATTTCTAACCATGTGGTGATGAGAATAGAAGAGAATAGTTAACTTGGGCAGTGAATCTATGTTGATCTCCATTATCTTTTCAAGTCTACCTTGTAAAGGTCCAGAGTTAGTAGAATAATTATAATCTTCCAATTCTCTCATTCCTCTTGTCCAAAATTCCTAGTTTTCTCTCTCAAAACTTTCTCTACTTTATGGTCTTGGATTTAAGCCCTGCCATTTAATAAGCTGTTTCTAAAACCAAATGACAAAGACCTTTAGAGGAAAAAAAACAGAATTTTAGAGAACTACGGCCAGCTGCTGAATAAACCATGCCTGCAATTGTTCAAAATGGAATGACTTGTTTAATTCAGAGAGAAAAATGAAAATAGGTACATACTTAGAGCAGTGAAAAAATTATTTCTATCCAATAAAAGCCATGCAGCAAATCCCATGAGTAAAAGTCCAAGAACCTACAAAAAAAGTCAATGTGATTTTTAATAATTGCTAATAAAAATTCATTGCATTTTTTTCTAGACTAAATAATTTTGAGGAATCTTACCAGGAAAGCTCCATTAATGAGGTTAAGAAAGTATTTTAAAATTAATGATTTGCTTTTCCTTAACATTCTTTTCCTCCCAAGATACTGATGGTTCTGAAAAGATAAGCAAAACTTTTACTACAAACACTTTCCATAGTAATAATTTTAAATGATTCTGCTAATGTTGTTTATTTGTACTTTTTCCTTCTCATACCAGTGGTCAATATCACATTCCCTTCTGCCCTCTCAATATAAGAACATATTGACATTATCTTGAAACTGTACCTGTCTTTCTCTATCTGCATTTTTTGGCTAGACAGTTGAGACCTAGAGGAATTTTTATAGTATGTCAATAGCTGCTTTTCTCAACTTTTTGCAATTTTCAGAAAGTAGAATATTTTATTTGGTTTCCAGTCTTAACACTCTTTTCTCCTTTCCTTTACCTCTTCATGTCCCTATCCTTTGCCGGAATAAAGTCTGCTCCTCTTGAGGTCTTGCTGTTGCCTGACCTCAGTTTTTGCCTATTTTCTTCTGGACATGTCTTTCTACCTATGTAGTCTCTAAGGTCTTTATGTGAAGAGAATAGGTCTTGTATATCATCATAACCCCATAGTCTAGCACATAGTAGGTACTCAGCAGATATTTGTTGAATGAATGAATAGATTAAATTATTTAATTTGTTTATATTAGGGTACAGAGTATAAGGAAAGGAACTAACTTAAGGTTGTTTTAACTAATTTTTCCCCATGCCAATTTTCCTAAAACTTCTATGAAAAAACCAACACCTCATTGTTTTTTTGTTGCTTTATTACATATCAATGTTTTAAAATTTTCTGGGGAGAGAATGATATGTTTAGGAATTTGGACTTTTTTTAAAGCATACTCTTACAAAATGAGAAGATAATAAAAACAGGTTCTTACAGAAACTCATAGGAGAAGAAATTTCTAAATGGTGTTACATGGTATAGAAGTAAAAAAAAAAAAGTGAGAATTCAGTACTCTCCAAGACAACCAATTTGGTAAGGAAGATGTTCACAGTAACTTCAAAACAGCAGTGTGTTAGTCCATTTGGTCTACTCAAACAAAATACCACAGACTAGGAAGCTTATAAGTAAAAAAAAATATATCATAGTTCTGGAGGCCAGAAGTCAAGATCAGTTTGCCAGTATGGCTGGGTGAGACCCCTGTTCCAGGTCTCAAACTTCTATCTTCGTTTGGTGAAAGGGGCTAGAGTACAATGTGGTATCTCTTTTTTTTTTTTTAATATATTTTACTGATTTTTTACAGAGAGGAAGGGAGAGGGATAGAGAGCTAGAAACATCGATGAGAGAGAAACATCGATCAGCTGCCTCCTGCACGTCCCCCACTGGGGATGTGCCCGCAACCAAGGCACACGCCCCTGACCAGAATCGAACCTGGGACCCTTCAGTCCGCAGGCTGACGCTCTATCCACTGAGCCAAACCGGCCAGGGTTGTGGGATCTCTTTTATAAGAGCACCAATCCCATTCATGAGGAATTCATTGTGTCCTAATCACCTCCTAAAAGTCCCATCTTCTAACACCATCACAGTGGGTGTATGGATTGCAACGTGAATTTGGGGGACGCACACATTTAGACCACAGCAAGGAGTTCATGTGAAAGAGTTAGAACACAGAAAACAGGGTGTCTAAGCAACGAATCAAGGAAGCCCACAGTCATGTTTGCACAGAATGGTAAGAGGAGATGTCATGTGCTGATCTGTCCACAAGCCCCACATACTGGAAACTGTGTCAATGAAAATGTAGATGTGCAAACACACAACAAGTCAGTGCAGGTCCTATTTAAATATTTGTAGCATGAAATATCTATATTTTCTTTCACTGTAGGCAAATACTTTGTTTTTAACTTAAAGTCTGGGTGCGGTATTTCTTTTGTTCATTTCCTGATTAGTTAATCAATGGTCCAACAGCAGGGGTAATTTTAATAGTATAAATGCTGTAAGGAAGGATAATTTATAATATTTGACCTTTTCATAGTGCCATTTCAACTAATTAATACTCTAATTGTTTTTATTATTGCTTTTAAGTTCCTTCTAAGTTCCAGGAGATAGGAACACAAAAATGATTAAATAATAAAAACTGTCAAGGAATCAATTAAAACCTGAAATATTTGTTGGGGTAGGAATAAAGGGAACTGGGATGCTTCAAAGAGGAGATGAATTTGAGATGATCCTTGAAAAATGACTAAGACAGTTAGATAAAAATGGGGTAGAGGTAGGAAGTTTTCAAGACAGATGGAAGAACACTGTGTCCACAAGCTTTACAGTGAAGTGCATTGGGGCATGGATCAGAGAAGCAAGAGATGAAAGGTAAGGCTAGAGAAATAAAGATTGTGAAAGATCATGTATGCTCTGCTAAAATCTGCTTTTATTTTCTGAACATATTGGGGGACCATAATTCTGTCATCAGTGCAGAAGTCAAAGACAGGGAGACAATTTTCAAAGCTAACGCACTAGTTCATGAGAAATGTATGTGATCTAAACTGCAAGATGGCTGTGGAACAATTCCAGGATATGAGGGATATAATAGGAAATAGAATTGCCGGCAGTTGGGTGTTAGCAAGAGGCCATGATGAAACTTGACCCAGGTTTATAGAGCTTAAATATGTAAACTATTAGCATTACCCCGCATCCTAAAATGTGTCATTTCTAATGATTCCCTTGACCATCAACATTTTGCAAATTCAGCACTAGTATGCTATGACTCTCAGAATTACCAATGAGGAAAGAAACTCAGAAAAGTAAAATAACTTGCTTGATACCACTCAGTTAATATGTGGCAGAGCTGAGATTCAAACCCAGGGATATATACCATATAAGTCATCATCTGTAAATGACCCTTATAATAGCACATACCTCATAGGGCTGTTGTGAAAACTTAATGACATTATGTTTATAAAGCACTGAACCCAGTGTCTGGCTAAATGCTAGCTATTAATCTCATTATACCACATCTTAGTATAGAAATATTGGGGTTATACAAGGGAGGTGGGCATGAGGATGGGAAATGGCAGGAGAACCGTGGGAAAGTGATGGACTCTGAAGCAGGTGGTCTTGGCAGCTGCAGGAAGAGAGCACAAACAGGCTAGAGAAGGAACCTGAAGGTTTGGGATAGTCTTTTAGTGGGAAAAGAGAAGAGAGGTCTAAGAATCTAATACTTCGGTTTGCCTATTAAAAATATAATGGCTTGCCCTAGCCAGTTTGGCTCAGTGGATAGAGCCTCGGCCTGCTGACTGAAGGGTCCCGGGTTCGATTCTGGTCAAGGGCACATGCCCAGGTTGTGGGTGCAATCCCCAGTAGAGGGCGTGCAGGAGGCAGCCAATCAATGATTCTTCTTCATTATTGATGTTTCTCTCTCTCTCCCTCCTTTCCTCTCTGAAATCAATAAAAACATATTAAAAAATATATATGATGGCTCAATAATCATCTTTCAAAAAATGAAACAAACAAGCCAATACCTACTATGCAGTTATTTGAGTACTACAATGATATTCTGGAGTATTTAAATCACATCATTGCCATATGAAGAATAAGTCATCTGTTGAAGAAGAATACTATTAATCTAAAGCCCACCATCAATTAATATTTTCAAATAAATCTTATTCTTATCAGATATCTGAGGAATAAACAGCTCTCTTTCATCTTTTCATTTTCTCAAAAAATATTACATACTCTCTAGAGCAGTGGTTCTCAACCTTCCTAATGCCGCGACCCTTTAATACAGTTCCTCATGTTGTGGTGAGCCCCAACCATAAAATTATTTTCATTGCTACTTCATAACGGTAATTTTGCTACTGTTATGAATTGTAATGTAAGTATCTGATATGCTACATGTGTTTTCCGATGTTCGAGACCCACAGGTTGAGAACCGCTGCTCTAGAGAAATATGTTGTGTTAGGGCAATAGGATATAAACCAAGCAGACATACAAATGATTTTCAAATAAGAGCAAAATTTAATTTAAAAAAAGTTACTTATAAAATGAAAAAACCTACTCAGGTTAAAAGGTTATTGGCAAACTAACATACACAATTTTAAGCTATAATTTCTAGGAAGATTGCAATGAAGTAGATTTCTGCTAAACAATGCATCATTAAATAATAGTTTCAAATTAAATTGATTTATAATCTATAACTATTTGAAATAATTGTTATATTTTTCTGTAATTAGTGATATTAATTAGTGATCACTAAGGTATGGCTAATTGATATAGTTTTCAGTCTTTTTCCAAAGTAAAAAAAATACCATGAGGAAATAAGAGATGTAGTAACACTCATCATGGATTAATTCATCTCCAGAAGAACTTCCAATATTTTTATTTTTGCCCTCAATTTGTTTGACAAGGTAAGATTTATGAAGGAAAGCAATCTATACATCATCTTCAAGTTAGCTTATTACTAAATTAGCTATTTAAAATTAGTTTTAGAAATTAATTGATTACTAATAGATTATATATATATG